CCTCTAAAAATCCCTAAAAATTTAAGCATCATAAGTCAACTCATTCGATTAAAGCTTTGTTTACACAAAGATGTTCAATAATTAATCAGTCTCTCCAGAAAAGCACGATCATGAGATTACATAACTTAATGCACAATCAGCCAAAGTCCACATATTTATACAGGGGCCACATTTTTTTCAAATACGCCGCATAAACTGCTGATGTCCGCGCAAAACATGCAGGGCATTTTCGTTGCAAAAAAGTCACATCTCAGCAGAAAGTTAAAAAAAATATGTTGCGTTTGCTTCAAACAAGAGCAGCCATTTCCCCGTTGCCAAGGGAACGTTATGAAGTGGCGTAATTACGCGGCGTGAACGTCGAAAAGCTGTAAAACGAGCACACTTTAATTTTTTTTACATTTAATTTTCTCATTCATTTTTACAGTTCAAGTTGCAGCATATTCCTTTTGTAAAGCTACAGAACTTTGATGCGTTTAAGGTCTGAAACAAGGTCATAAAACAAGATGCGAAATTAAATATTCCCAGCACTTTCTATGATGTGGTATATTTGCTTATCATAGGAAGTAATAAAAACTCTTTACGGCAGTGGTTCTCAACCTCTCCTGCAGGGACCCCCTGACAGGTCATCTTTCGTTTTTTAACTAATGTTGTCACGATACCAAAATGATTGTTTCGATACCGATGAGGGATGGGCATGATTAGTCGACGATCGATTATTGATCAATAAGAATATCGTCGATCACCTTAATTTGTTATCGATTAAACTATTGCTGGTTACGCTGCGTAGTGCGAGTGGAAAGTGGAAGGAATAAGGTTCCCCGGGCTGGCCATGTTCGCGCCGAGGTACCTGTGCATCCCTGCAACGTCAGTCCCCTCAGAGAGGGTGTTTTCGGCGGCTTAATAAAATATCCTGCACATTCCATGGCATCGTTAAAGAAAATGGGCCGCATTATTAAGGATTCTTGCCTCAGTGTTTTTCTGGAAGGACTGTTTAATAATCATTCTAATTCAATGAGAATAGAGTCCACACCACAGCTATATGGATGTCACCAGAACGATATTAAAGGGCATATTGCAGGTTAGAGGACCCAACGAGTCAATGCATAGAAAAACAATGTAGGAACTAGATTTTCTTTAAAATATACGTATAAACACGCCACAGAAGCTTCTGCAGTCGTTTTTGTGAGAAAATGTTACTTCCGCGTCTGAAAATGGGCGTGGCGGGTGTGACGCAATGAGCGGGAGAGCCGTCGATTCACACAACAGGAAAACAATGGATCGCATGACATTTCGGACGCTGAGGAAATACTCGTATGACGGATCAAGCCATAAAGTTTTGAGCCTGCTATGCTAAAGAGATCAGGGACAGGCCAGGATAATGTCAGACAGAATGGTCAGAGAAAAATTGAGCTGTGATGTGAGGAGAACCAGTGGAGAACAGGACAGGTGCCTTTTAGGTGAGAGACGTGCTTATAGGCTATACATGTTCGCTAACGATATACACTGTGCTCACAATATTGTACAGATTATGATCCTATAACAGGCCAGCAGACATTAGTATGTTTTTACTGTAGATTTGTACTATTAAATGTATAAAAACTTTGAGTATATTGCTATAGTAAAAGCATAGGCTATACTCAGGTAAATTTTTACTACATATTTTTCACCTAGGTTATAACATAAACAGAAGAACATTAAAGATTTGAGTATTTAAACAACCAATTTTGTTTTCTAGTTCTATTTAGGGCATGACATGACTAAGTTACCTATATAACACTATTTGGTGCCATTGGTAGTATACGACGATCAATATTCTTGCTTTGGCATACCATGATGAACTCCATCATATTGCCGGGATGCAAATCATTTGATCTGAAGTGAACGCTACACACGACCGCGTTTTCCGAGCCGATGCAGAAGAGAAATCCCGTCTGTTCACCTTCTCAAACCGCACCAGGAACGAAAGATAGCACCGTCACTTTTATTGTAATGGAAACTTGTGGACTCGATCTTGAAGTCATGACAGGCTGGATTTTTTGCAATCTCCACAAACACAATAATTTACCATGACGATGATAAATTAAAATACAAAAACTAACAAAAGCACACTGACTGACGACGGCTCTCACTGAACACCAGCCTACTCTGCACTGAGCCGAGGCTGCGGCTCCCTGATATGACGTCAAATGACGCAATGTTGAAAAAAAGCCGTTTTTACTAGCAGTCCAAGAAACGCTTATTTTATCTTCTAATTTAGTGCCCTTATGTCGTTTTAAAACATTTTAAATCCTGCATTAACTTTTCATATGGTATTTTCATACAGGTTATTTATAAATTTCGATTTTTTTTTAACCTGCAATATGCTCTTTAAGGCTGGGCCAAAAAAAACCTCTCAATTCGCATCTTCTCTCTGCACAAGAGTCAAGCGTGCAGCATACGGCAAAACTAGGCTACACGCTCGCGTTTTCGGGAGTTGGGACATAACGGAATTGTCAATTGTCGGGCCACCATTGCATTGTACGTTTAACATTTTCATGTCTTTTTAGGTCTAACCATTTTAAACATTAAAGCGATTTTAACAGCTTTATCAGATTTTTTTTACATTGCTCTGCTCCATTTCTGTTTACAAAAGGCTAAAGACAGATCTTACCTTCAGTGGGATCAGCCACATTAGCTTAATATTTCTGCTAGTTTTCCATTAGCTGTATATTGCAGGCACCCTAGATTTATGACCATAATACTGCAGAAAGCAGATAATATTCCACCAGGACTGCTACAGAGCATATGGAAACATGACGACCATGATTTCAAATTAGAACTCCAGTACTGGAGAAATAATCAAATGGCATGTTGATTACAATATCTTGCCATCTGCTCTTTAGCGAGTACATATAACGACAAACAAAATTGACCCTACTTCCTTATTATACATTTTCTTATTGCACATTATACAAGCTTTATATTAATAATAATTCGGAGTGCACCAAAGTACGGGCAATAATTGATATCGGCAGATAAAAGGAATTATTTTCACTATCTGTCATCAGCCGATGTTTAAAAACAGCAGATAGTCAGGGCCAATTATATCCTGTAAATCAAAAGGGGGCAGAAACATGTCAGACTGCATCTCATACTGTGTGTGAAGAAAATTAAGCCATTGAAGTTCATGTGACAGCATTACATTTTTGAGTTGATTGGCCAGTGGGTTTTCCCTAAACCAAACATTATTTGTAAAGCACATCCCATCCAATAATCACAAAGAGCTTTGTTACTTCTGATAAGAAACAATAAATTCTGGCCATTTTAGAAAAGAAATTCAAACAATAAATCTTAATTGTGATGCAAAAAAAAAAAAAATTAACAGTAAAAACAGTAGCGCGAGTCCGTTCAGTTATTGCATGAAAAAAAAAAAACATGCATGAACATCAAATGGAGTTTAACTTTCCAAAACACATCACGTCTCATTTAAAGAGTAAATTGCAAATTAAATTTCACGAAGAAAATGCAATGTGCTTACTAAACATAAAGATAAGAACCGCCCACAATTGTTTTTATACCAAAATGCTGCATATGAAAAGTTGGTACGTTTTACAGTGGTTTTAAGCACGCCCCCTCCCTTCCACTAGGCTGGGCATGACATCATAAAAGGGACTCCAAGCTTTTACTGTACAGTATATGCCTGGTCTATGCTCCAAGCCTAGAGTTAGCATTAGTCTAAACGGCAAGTAGGTTAGCAGTTATATTGGAGACCTAGCTAGCAAAACTGGTTAACCATTGTGTTTGTTTCGGGATGTACGAATCCATCAAAATCGAAATATCAAGAATTAATTCACACGTCTACTGTGTGAATTAATCCAACGTTTAATCAGCGCTCGGATTCGTGTCCATGGTGCCGTCAAGTACGACTTGCAGTTTGTGAGGTAAACTAAACGGTATTCTGGCATCGGGCGGTAATACGGTATATCGCGGTCTCTAAAAATAGCGGTATCAGTTTCAATATTGTCATACAGTAATAATAATAAAAAAAAAAAGAAAAACTCTTATACAGGAGACAAGGATTAAATAAAATTTATTTAATGGCTAAAAATGCTTATGTTTGGTTCTCATCACGTCACAGTGAGGGAGACAGGGAGAAAGATGGCAAGTTGTGCACTGAGTGACCTGGTCTCGAAGAACACGACTTCTGCAGTTTGGCAGGGATGGGCATGTCAAGCAAAAATAACATTTGAAGATCGCCTCGGTATTTTTCGATTATTATTGGAAAATCGTGCCCCTTCACCACATGCACACACACATGCATGTACGCTATACAGCGGAGTGGACCGTGTCTGTGTGACTACTTCTAGTCAACTAGAAAAATAAATTAGAACTATAACTAGAAATATAAATTTTAAAAAAAGTTAGCCGTGCACGGGCAGCCCTACTTATTTCACATCTTTTCTAACCAGCAAGTCACTGCGGGCATTCTGAGCTGGTGCCGCTGAGTGGACTGAGCGTGCGGCGAGTGATCTTCAGAAATGTACCCTCCGCTCTGGAGGAATAATCCCACAATCTATTCCATATCCTATAATAAAATCAAATAATTTAATATTCGAAAATCGTGACCCATCCCTACACAAACCAACAGTTTGGTGATGCCATCTGAGCCTTATGTCATAATATTGAATTAATCACGCGGTAATACCGTATACCGCGGTAAAATAGGGAGGAGTTTGACGGTATCAAAATTTGGATACCGCCCAAGTCTAGCATCAGCAGCAATATATTAAAAGTGGGAGGAGCCATTCAATATGTCCCTTAACTTCCTAGTATCGATGCATCTCTAATAATATCAATACAAATTAATAATATATAAAAAAATAATAATTGAAATCAATTTCTGTGGAGAAAACCACACATTAGCAAGTGGAAAAGAGCGCAATGGAAACCAAAAACACACTGCGTGTGAACAAACTCTTACTTCCACACTTAAAGTAAGGGTCAAAAGTGCTCGTACCAACCTGGCAGAATATAGGAACGTGCGTGTCGATCAACACACTGCGGAGATCCTGAGCGGTGAGGATGTTTTGAGGTAGTCGGTCAACACAGAGGCAGCGAGACTGCAGCATGGGATACGTGAGCGATCCAACCTCTGTCCAATGCACGTACAGCATACGTGACCCAAGCTGCTTCCCCAGCAGCTCTGACTTCGCCCTGGCTGCCGAGTCCTTCTTCATGTACTCCACAAAGCCATAGGCCTTCGAGTGGCCCGTGGCAGAACTGTGGACCAGGAAGCAGCGCTCAATGTTTCCAAAGGGACGAACGAGCTCCTCAAACTGTTGCTGGGTGAAAGCCCTGGGAAGGTTGGCGATGCATAGCAGAGCGTCCGTCGGCTGCAGCTGCACAGAGATCTCACGGTCACGGAGAACATACTGGTGAAATTCCTTTATTGCAAACTGGGCCTGCTCCCCGTTCAGTAGCGTCACGAAGGCTTGAATATGAAAAACAGGGAAAATGAGGAACAGCAGTCATAAGAAAGAAGAAAAAAAAAAATCTAAAAATTTTATCCAACATAAAAAAAAGATACTGTGTAGTAGTAATATACAGTATATAACACAGGAATAAAACATAAATATTTAAAAATTAATTTTATTGATTTGGTGCAAGACATTTGAATGAAAAGTAATTTCGAACATGTAAAAAAAAAAAATCATAATAAAACTTAATAACAAAACAAAAAAACTATTTTAACTTATACATGTCCGAAAAGGAGTAGGAAGAAGCATAAGCTTATTCAATCCTACCCCATCTCCACTACTTTGTAATAATTAATTAACTAATTAAACGGTTGACCAAACATCTTGATCTTTTTGTGTCTGCACACCCAAAAACAAAATACATATTTACCTATGTTTATACACATTGTAAATAATAAATTGCATAAAAATATAAGTAAAAATAATAAAACTAAATAAAAAAATACAAATTACTTGCAAATACCTTGTTTTTTACAATGCTTTTTAAACTGAATCTTATTATCTTATATCTTATTATATCATATTTTATCATCAAACGCTCATAAAACAGTTGTGCTGCTTCGTATTTTGTGGAAACTGTGATACATTTTATTTTTTAGAATTCTACATCTTTTTTAAAGAAAAAGAAATAGAAACTTGTAACATTATAAATCTCTTTACTGTCATTTGTCATACATTTAAAGCATCTTTGCTTTAAAAAAATTAAGAAAGTTAAAAAAAATAAACAAAAAATAAATAGGATGCCTAAGACCAAAACCTGAACAGATGCTGCAAAATAAAGACTTAATCGGCTCAGAATGATGTAAAATTCTGCCAATATCTACAAAAAAAAGTCCATTCACTTGATAATATGAGTCATACACACCTGTCCCTTTGTACTTGTCCACAAAGCAGTACTTCAAATCATAGTTGCTTAACAGCTCATGCACCTCCTAAAGAAAGACAATAGAAAAAAATACAAACACATTGTTACCACAATGGAAGACTTTCATTCATTGAACAACCACAGTATCCATTTTGCATGCACAACAAAAGTCATACAATAGTTCATAACTAATCGAATAGTTCAGCTCATCTCTATTCCCACAACTCATTTTGAAGGGTCACAAATAATTGCTTTTCGAAACGAATGCTTTCCACTTTTACTTTCAGGCTTCCTACATGTTACCATACTATGAACCAGCACTTTCTTTTAGTTTCAGTGAAAGCAAAACGTTTTGTTTCAGCGCCTTCAGTCCTTTGTCGTCCTCGCTGCTCCCATTCCTATCTGGACAATACCAGAGGCGCGTGAACACGCACACACACACACTTTCCCCATGAATCAAGCATTTTCCTAAGAGAACCACATGAACAAGAACCAACTGACCCCTATGAACTTTGGCGTCAGAAAATGAATCTGCTGTGTCAATGTGAAGGCGGATGTTCAGTTTCAGAGAGATGCTTTTACCACACAGATTCTAGTGTCATCCAATACTCCTAAACAGTGTTGGGAGAAATTAATTACCTTTCCCTTGAAAAAGAAAAGGGACTACGCTTTATTTTTCTGTAGTTTAGTGACTTCTGATGTAACGCTATATACTGTTTAGACAACAAAACAATTCTATATGAAACAATAGAGGATTTAACATCAAAATTTAGGGTAACCATTTCCCTTAACACACATTGGTCAGTTCAAGAATAAGTTATGCAATTATATATTGTTTATTTGAAAGAATTAAAAGAGCGGTTTCGTGTATATCCTTGTATTGTTCAACTGGTGGAGGTTGATATGGTATTTAGACAGTAATTAGTAATAAATAATTCAAAATTAGTTTTTTAGAGTAATTACAGTAATCTAAATAAACTGTTGAAGGTGTAATAAGCAGCTAGTGATTTTTTAGAGTTTTAGATTTTGAGTTATGTTAGTGGTATCTAATTAATAAATAAGCACTAGTAAAAATGAAAGGTAACGTTACTAGTCATTACTGCTCATTAATAAAATAAAACAAAATTAAAAAAAAAAAGTTTGAGCGTCAAAACTGCTTGTCAGACTCTGGTTAACAACAGTTTGAACAGTAACGTTAACATTAATGATAAGAAACTTCATGGAAATGGCATATATTTTTAGATTTAACTTTAAGCGTCAGATTTTGAGAGTGGTTATAGAAATATTAAATACTGAAATGAAGCAGCGAACATATAACATTAATCTACAGAAGCAAGTTGTGCCTGTGTATCACCATCCGGGCATTGAGCTTGCCTTAAAATCAAATGAACGGTCAAGCAACATCCAATACAGTTGACGTTACACAACTCCTATTGGACTCCATCCCGTGGCTCTTTAATGGCTGCGATGACACGAGGTTCGGTGTGGTCAAAGCATCTCTCTGAAACACTGACCATTCACAATGACACAGCACACATCAAAAACCTAACGTTAGTCCCTTAACTAAACGTAACTTACTGAGTCAGCGATAACCGAAAAGGTTGATGGATCGAGCATGGGATGCCCGTCCAAAAGTCCATCAAGTTATATAAAACTATTGATGTAAGTTTCAAACCTGATTGCTGATGTCGACGGGGAGGTTCTTTATTATTATTTTTCGCCGATTATAAAACTCTCTTCTCGTTCTTTCCAAACGGCTGGCAATCTCTTCTGGACTGAGGGCCGTCAGTTCATCATCGAGCCGTCGCGAACAGTCGCTACCCGCTTGGGAACCCTCATCGACCGCGTCCGATTCAACTTGTTTGCCAGTTTCATACTCCCAGTTTTCATGTTCGCCTGTTTGGTCGTAACCTGTATAGAGTGGATTCGGGGCAAAATTGGCACCAGTGAAGGATTTCTCGTCTTTGGCAGCTGAGCTAACGGCCGCCATGTCTCCGTGTGGAAGTTTGTGTGCTCGCACTGCTCGTTTGCTTTGGCCAGTTTAAACAATACACACATGCGAGGAGCTCGCCTGCTGATTGGTCGAGGTGAAATGCGTTTTTCTTTTTCGGCGTGAGGGGCGGGGCCAACGAGTCACGTCTCAAATTTGAACACACAACAGGTGGGTTGCCAGATCCCATTATTTAAAACACACACACAAAAATAACATTTTCTTTGTTTTATTATTCTGGTTTTTACTCTTTGTATTAACACATTTAAATACCAGAGAACACGTCAAATGCACAGCCTGTACTGTTATGAAGGACTAAATATATTTAAATATTTATTTATTTTATTTTTTTCTGATGTTGAGATGTTGGCAAACGGCACCCGTAATTATTTTTCAGTTGTCTGTTTTTACAATGAGGGTGATAACATTAAAAAGGGAATCGGTTGCCAGATCAGAATATAATAAGCACTCAATATATATATATATATATATATATATATATATATATATATATATATATATATATATATATATATATATATCTTATCTTATCTATATATATCTATATATATATATATATATATATTCATCATCTGGTGAAAGAATAAAGAGAGGGCATTCTTCTCTGGAAAGCGAATGAACATTACCATTATTGTAATCTTTTTGAAGCACATAGGAGCAACAAAATGCTGTAATAGAGATGTATAGATGCATACATGGATATTAAAATCTCCAACAATTAAGACTTTGTCTGCAGCCAGTACTAATAGAAATATTTTGTATATACAGTTAATATTATAAAAAATATTAATATATAAATATTTTCCATATTGTGATATCGGGAAGAAAAAAAACACTGTGATTCACACTGTGATAATATTCTTCACAGTCTGTGAAGAAGAAAAAAAAAACTTATTCATGGAGGAATCCTTCACAAGATCAGCAGGCATTTACAAAATAGATCAATTTGACTGACTCATCATGAATGAACATCTAAAAGGATCCAGTTATAAAAAGCAAGATGCATCTCCAAATTTTTAATTTGGTATAAACTTTCAAAAATTGTCAACAATAATTACATTTATTAAAATAGTTTTTAGAGATGCATTCAGTGGAACAATTAAGACAATAGCATTTCACACAAGATGGTGTACAAAAGACCATAAAACATGAGTAGAATTGCACATTAAAAATATAAGAAAATATATAAATAAAAAAGAAAAACATTCAAAGCGGCATTTATATCGTACTGTAAACATCTAAATTCATTTTCTTAAGGTCTTCCAAAAGTCATAGTCTTTGCTTACCCCCAATAAAACATTCAAACATTCCTCGATAAAGGAGTATTTACACGATAAAGTTACCTTGATTAAGGAATGAATAATGTTCACATCTATGCATTCTTTGGTTACGGTTTAACAGCAAGACAAAGGTGCAGTAAGCGATTTCAGAGAAACACTTGATATTTAAAACTGACACCCAAACAAGCACATCCCTACACAAAATAAACAAGACCCTCCGTATATATATATAAAATAGTTGACAAACACTGTTGCTATTTTTTCTCATGCAGTTGTGCTAAGCACTTTGTTTTCCCCATTCAATCTGAAATAAATATCTGTGTACAGTTTTATATCACTTTTCACCTCACCGGGGAGGTTTGCAGATCCGAGCGCTGACTCCAGCATGAAGTTTTGGTGGAAAAAGAGGTATAGTATGTGGGTTTCCTTAAACATCCTCTTTTCTTAAAATAATGACATAAACAGCCAAGTGTGGTCAGGCTCACAGTGAAGTGCTGTGGTTGCAGGCTGTGAGAGCAGCAGCAGAGAGAGAGAGAGAGAGAGAGAGAGGTCAGCTTTGGTTAAGCTGAGCGAGCTGCACAGACGGTTGCAGTTTGTATGTTCCCAGGATTTCGTCAAAAGAATCGGCCAGGAATTTGAATGATGGACGCTGCCCAGGGTTGAAGTCCCAGCATTGCTCCATCAGTAAGTAAACCTGCAATAAGGATTCAGGCAATGAAGCTGTGATGACGAATTTTTGTATTTATGAATATATGTGCCGCTTAGTTTCACACTACCTCACGGGGACAGTCTCGAGGGCACGGCAATCTCTCGTTTTTCTCCAGGAGGCTAATAAGTTTAACCACAGTCATCTGACCATGGACCAATCCCATCATCTCAAAGAATTTCTATGGAAAACAAAGTCAGAAGGGTGGGAGGGGGGTCAGAACATTTCCAAGTTAGCCTTAGTGTTATTTATCAGTTGAGGCAGGTTTCAAATTTTCATCCAGTCGTTCCATTTTTATAGTTCGTCGGTGCTAGGCTAGCACGAGTCAACCACAGACAGTAAAAGAACTGGGCACAGAGACCCAATTGATTTCAACAGAGAAAATTGAAGCTGATCGCCAGGCGTACGGCGCAGGCTCAAACTGAGCCTGTCACGTGAGCAACCTGTATGTCTTCTAGTAGCTGTCTCACAGGGACGGAGAGAGTGAATATTAGCTGTCCATGAGCTAGCAGCAGAAACAACTTTATGACTCTCTATGGGCTTCTCCCTCGACTTTATCGGACTTTATGCCTCCACGTCCCCCGATTGCCTGCGAGCTTCTCCTCCTGTCTATAAGGTCATTTGTGATGATTTGGGATTGTGACGCAATCGTTAGCCTAATTTTTTTTTACAAAAACTGCTTCTACGGGGCCATAATGTAAGATACAAAGGTAATGGAGCCTTTTATACATTGTTGTGTTTCTTTAGAAAGAATTAATGGACAAATGGAGGCCTCAGATGTAAAGTTATTATTCATCAAAGTGACGCCAAAATGAATGGGAGTCAATGGGATGCTAACAGCAGGTTAAAGGGATAGTTCACTTTGAAATTAATTTTTGATATGTTTTAGCTTACCTCAAGGGCATCCAAGATGTAGGTGTCTTTGTTTCAACAGTATTTTCAATTTTGACATTTTTCAGTCAAACCGTTGTTGTCTATCAGTCATACACTGGAGGCTAAGGGGGTCCACCTCAAAGAGCATGCACAGAGAAGTCCAAATTAAACATGATTTAATGACTCGTAAATGTAAGTACACATTGATGGCATAAGACACGAAACGAGCGGTTTGTGTGAGAAAACGAACAGTATTTATACCGTTTTTACCTCTTGTAATCATAGCCATGACAAAATGATCTGACGGCAGAGTGATCGATTGCGCGCCTACGTCACTCTTTGTTTATACAGAGATTTCGGAAGTTTTACCTTTCACTAAACATATTTAGATATACGGGAAACCGCAATGGAAGATTATGTTTAGTAAAAGGTAAAACTTTTCCGGCGTAACATTGACCTGATTCAGTTCGGTTCAGTTGGAGATTTCACAACTGATTCAGATCACTTGGACGTCACTGTGAATACACGAGGTAAAAACGATATAAATACTGTTCGTTTCCTCACACAAACCGCTCGTTTCGTGTCTGAGGCCATCAATGTGTACTTACATTCACGAGTCATTAAATCATGTTTAATTTGGACTTCTCTATGCATGCTCTTTGAGGTGGACCCCCTTAGCCCCCAGTGTATGACTGATAGACAACGACGGTTTGACTGAAAAATGTCAAAATTGAAAATACTGCGGAAACAAAGACACCTACATCTTGGATGCCCTTGAGGTAATCTAAAACATATCAAAAATTAATTTCAAAGTGAACTATCCCTTTAAGTTCTGCTACAATGGCGGCTCCCGCGAGGCTTCAACTTCCGGCTGATGGATTAAACGGTAGCTGCTAGCCTGCCATTAAATACAGTTTTACCCACTCCACAGTACACCAAAAGCAAATAAATTATAACGCCAGACTATCAATGTCTGTTATCTGCTTTCACATATAAAGAATTATCGGTATCGGGCAAAATGTTCTTAACAGTGCATCCCTATTTTTTTCTGTGTCTCATACTATACACGTCAATAAAAGTAAAATTTTAATATTGTTTCTTGAGGAGCAAATCATCATATTAGAGTGGTTTCTGAAGGATCACGTGACACTGAAGACTGGAGTAATAATGCTGAAAATTCAGCTTTGATCACACAAATAAATTACATTTCAAAATATATTAAAATAGAAAACAATTATTTTAAATTGTAATAATAGTTCACAACATTACATTTTTTATTGTATCTTTGATCAAATAAATGCAGGCTTTTTTTTTTTTAAACTTTTTACAAAAACATAAAAACATTCTACCGACCCCAAACTTACTTTTGAACAGTACTGTATTTGGAAACTGTGACATTCATTTATTTATGTAAAACTGAACATGATTGCACTTTTAATACAATACAAAACATAAAACCGAGACTTACCGAAGGAGGGCTTTGGCGATGATTACAGTTGGTCAAAATCTCATAGAGGGTCACAGCAAAAGACCAAACATCAGAGGCAAAGGAAAACTTGCTATCCTTCAGGCACTCGATGGCATACCTAAAAAGCCAAGAAATTACATGTTTTGGAATAACTGCTCCGTTTGTTTTAAGCTCAGAGATGAATTTAAAGTCAAAGTGAATTTAAATTAATTTAAATCAAGTTTTTTTTTTTTTATGCGAGAATTTTCTCCTTAAAACTGCAGTGAACCTCAAAAACGGCATTTGAAATTGCTGGTGTTTCTGACGTCACAAACTACCTCGTAACCAATCAGGGGTGCGTTTCCCGAAAGCATTGTTAGACAACTATGGTCACATGTTCCGTCGTCAATAGTTGAAATAAAGTCGTTATTTTTGTTTGTTTTTGTGCACAAAAAAAGTATTCTCGTTGCTTGATAAAGTTAAGATTGAGCCACTGTAGTCACTTGGACTATTTTAACAATGTCTTTAATAACTTTTCGAGGCCGGCAAGTTTCAATCCCTCAAGAAGCCTATGGACTAGTATGGAGGAGCGATCCAGCTCTCAGATTTCATCAAAAATATCTTAATTCCTGTTCCGAAGATGAACGAAGGTCTTACAGGGTTGGAACAACATGAGGGTGAGTAAATACTGACAAAATTTTCATTTTTGGGTGAACTACCGGTATCCCTTTAATATTTCTTTTTTTTTTTTTCAAGGAATTCAATGTCAATTTGGTGATTAAAGATGAGTTTTAAGGGATACAATTATTGACTACAGGAAGACGTTAACATTCCAAAGTCCACAGTTAAACCTTGTGTGCCCCTAAGAAAAAAAAAGTTCTTATTCAATTATTTTATTTTCTGTGGAATCATTCGATTATTCTAACAATCTCTGTGTCGATCGATATCAAACATACTTAAGCTTTCACTGCGCGACACCACATTATGTCTAATAACGTCAATAAAATCCATTAACAGACCATGTTTTATTGATAAAAGCATTCTCCAAGATGTTATCACATTAGAGAACATTATCCATCTCCCCAAGCCTCTAGCCATCACTGCTTACCAGAACACAGGACTGTCTCCGTCCTCACGAACGCGATAGTAGATCTCTCCTTCGGGAATGTACTTTGTCAAGCCAAAGTCCCCGATCTTAACCACACCTTCATTCTCCACCAAAACATTCCGTGCTGCCAAATCCCGGTGGACGTACCGCTGGGTGTGGAGATAGTTCATCCCCTACAGGTTCAGGAGTCCAGATTGGACAATACGGGACAATTTAGAAGAGTGAGGAGGACTATCAGTTAGCTTCAGTATGACTTTAATGGGTCTGAATTCCTCACCAAACAGATCTGTCGTGCAAACAGGAGACTTTGTGCGATTCCCAACCGATGTTTAGGCAGGTACTCTCTGAGGCTTCCCAGTGGAAGATACTCCATGATTAATTGTACCACCTGTCCACCTAAAACAAAATACCACATGTGCTACACTATGAGTGTGGCATCACATTTTGCACGAGTAGATGACATATTTCCTATTGAATCACCGATTTGCTGCTTGTTATAATCAGTGTTATTCAAGAGAGGGTTTTATTAGACACAAAAATCAGTCCATTTTCCTAGAATTTGAAGCATTCATATTAGTAGTTTTGCTCACCCAGTTCAGTACAACACCCCTTGTATCTGACAATATTCTCGTGGTAAAGTGACTTGAGTATTTCGATCTCCTTCATCCAGGAATCGTGAAGGTTACTTCCAGTCTCTTGTTTCAAGGCCTTCACTGCCACATATTCTCCTGTTCCATCATTGGCAGGGTCATAGACGTACAGCATCACCTTTCCAAAATGTCCCTGTAAGCAGGTCACACAGTATTATACAAAACCGCCATTTGACGGTTGGATCTGATTCTGAAGACAGAAACCGTAAACTGACCTCTCCCAGATCCCTGATCTTCTTTAGGTGACGTTTGTAAAAGACGCTGGGGTCTCTGTCTGGAAGTGACTCGCATTCGGATGAAATGTCTGGATCTTTTGAGGAAGAGAATAGCGTAAACATTTCTGAAGTCGCAAACAAAATCTTTTTTTTTTTTTTTTTATTTAACATGGCATTTTTACGATATAAATACTATAAAACTAGGGATGCATCAACATCTACATTTTGGTCGATACTGATTATGCTTGATAAACAATAATATGGCTGACAATATAAATCAATATTCTTTACAACAAACAACAAAAAAATCAGTTCCAGATTACATTTTTCATGCTTCAAAGACATTAACATTTGAATGTATTGTTTAGTCCTTTCGTAACATGGAATAGAAAACGTTTTATTCAGAAAAAAAAGTGATATCAGCTGATACTAAAACAGTAATGCACTGAAATTAAAATTCTTGGTTTTAAAAATTAACTTTTTGGACACACTGGGTCGAAAACCAGAAATGCTCCTTTTAACTGATCTTTTGTTCGGAATAACTGTTTTAGTTAAAATGTTGTCTTATTTTAATATATTTCTAACTGATTAAACTTTACACTTTTTCTTCTTTTAATTAACATTACTATAATAACATCTAGGCTCCAACAACAACTTAACAAAATATTGTATTGGCCTAACTTTTTTTAAAAATACTATACTTGAGTTTGACAGGAGGCAATTGGTGATTTGGAGACTATAGATTATATATCAAATAGTATAGATAGAAAGATTATACATCATCTCGAAGTCACCTAAAGGGCCTTAACTATGCATTAGAGGGTTATATTAATAATTTTATTGTTGGGAAGGTTGATGAAAAGCTTCAGCTCAAGGTTAAAAAGGTACAGGTCACAGTGTAAACGTGATAAACCGAGTATCGTTAGTATTCGTTACCCAGCCTCTCGGGAACCTAGTGTCGGAATTTTAAACTTAAAATGAAATGAAAAATGAATGAAAACTGACTAACTGCAATACATTTCACTGACGTGGAAGCAGAGAATGTCTGAGTGTATTGGGTTAGCTGTGCACTGTGATTGGCTCATCGCGTTTGAGGGCGTGGCTTAGCCATAGGTCATTTCTAATTTTTGGGTGAACTATCCAGCACCATCTTTAGCCGCTTTTTCCAGTAGCACCTCATTGCAGTACACGAGATCCAGGAGGCGGAGTTGGATCAGATCTAAGGGGCGGAGATGGGTAGGATTAGGGGTGTGGTTAGGGATCAGGGGGCAGAGATGGGTAGGGTTAGGGGTGGGGTTAGGGTCAGGGGGCAGAGATGGGTAGGGTTAGGGGTGTGGTTAGGGTCAGGGGGCGGAGATGGGTAGGATTATATGTATGTTGGGAGGAATCCAACTCCTCCCCCTGGATTTCGTGTTCTGCAGTGAGGACTATCTCGCTTTTTCTCCGTCTGGGCGAACGGTTCCAGTTACATTTCCACTTTAGCTTGGAAATGCACAGCATGATTACAAACTGTCTGACTAGTAGAATGCGTGTAGTGATGTAACCACTCAGGATCAGTGGCTTTAGTGACTTCTCTATAGATGGCCAAGAGCGCTAATTGAGTGGCGTAAAAAAAACCTCACTTTTAATCTGAATCTCAGTTAGCTCTCTCAGAATGGTCCGGAATGACGGCCGTGCGGCAGAGTCGTAGGTCAGACACATGCTGATGAAGGTGGCCAGCTCTTGAGATGACGGCACCGCCAGGCGACTCTGCGTCTCATAGAATCGCTCTTTCTGTAGACAGAGGAGAGCATGTGAGCAAGCGTTGAGAGTGTGGGTTGTCAGGTACGCAGCTAGAGGAAGCCGTACCTCAGGCAGTGTGCTGCCACTGATAGGAAGATCTCCGTTGTTGCAGATTTCCAACAGAGTTGCTCCAAAGCTCCACTGGTCGGCAGCGCTTCCTATACGAGCCCCGTCGGGGATACACTCCGGGGCGATCCACGGGATTCTCTCCACACGCTCTGCACATAAAAACACACATATCAGACACAGGCATGTTCTGGAGTAAAAGTGAGCGGTTCTTTCCTCTGCAAACCCTGCCATTATGATCTTATAATGAGGTGGGTGGGTTTAATGTGTTGCTAATGCATTGCTAGGATGGCATGAACGTTTAATACTTCTGGACAGCTGCTTCAATGCTGTTAATGTGATCATCCTTGACATTCAAAAACGTGCTAGACTAAAGGAAGTTAGCATCACCATTAGGAAGTGGTTGGTTTGTAGCTTCCTGTTCTATAAACCATGAGAGAATCTGATGAAGTAAACAGTAGTGACAAGCGGAGCAAAGTAACTAGAAAAATGACACAGATAGAGAAGGACAGGATGTACTCAACTTGATGTATTGTGTGAATAACAACAGTTCTTGGTTACCTCCACGAGACAGAGCCGAGAGAGAAATGCCTGGGTCACTGAGCTTCACAAACGGGGACGAGCCCTCCTCCAAACCCTTCCTGACCACCAGAATATTCTTGCCACACACATTACCATGGACCAAACTCTTTGTCTCCTGTGAAGGACAATGTGATGGGTCAATCTCACAAAAAAAAAACAACTTCATTTACATTACAGCGATGTTCACTGGACTGATCAATAACCATACAATGCAAAAATGTTATGAAATAATATAAGTTTCCTTAATGCAAACACAATTTCATAAAAAACAATTTTTCATGTGATTTTGACGTGTAGTGTCTGTAATTTCTTAAAAGGCTTAAACTAAAAAATATGTTAAAAAGCATGTTGACGTACAATGCATGAAAATGTCCTTAAAACAGACTTTATTTATGCTTAAAACTATTTCTTTTGCTAAGATTTTTTTCTCTTTTGATTTAGAGGTGTAATATATGGAAGCTTGTTTACGCCAAAGAATGAAAAATAAAAAAGGTAATTGCGACTTTTTATCTCACAATTCTGACTTTATTTCTCAGAATTGCGAGATATAAAGTAAGAATTGCGTGATATAAAGTCACAATTGCGTGATATTAAGTCAGAATTGCGTGATATAAAGTCAGAATCGCGAGATATAAAGTCAGAATTGCGAGATATAAAGTCAGAATTGCGTGATATAAAGTCAGAATTGCGAGATATAAAGTCAGAATTGCGAGATATAAAGTCAGAATTGCGTGATATAAAGTCAGAATCGCGAGATATAAAGTCGAAATTGCGTGTTATAAAGTCAGAATTGCGAGATATTAAATCAGAATTGCGAGATATAAAGTCAGAATTGTGAGATATAAAGTCAGAATTGCGAGATATTAAATCAGAATTGCGAGATATAAAGTCAGAATTGTGAGATATAAAGTCAGAATTGCGTGTTATAAAGTCGCAATTGCGTGTTATAAAGTCAGAATTGCGAGATATAAAGTCAGAATTGCAAGATATAAAGTCAGAATTGCGAGATATTAAATCAGAATTGCGAGATATAAAGTCAGAATTGTGAGATATAAAGTCAGAATTGCGAGATATTAAATCAGAATTGCGAGATATAAAGTCAGAATTGTGAGATATAAAGTCAGAATTGCGTGTTATAAAGTCGCAATTGCGTGTTATAAAGTCAGAATTGCGAGATATTAAATCAGAATTGCGAGATATAAAGTCAGAATTGCGTGATATAAAGTCACAATTGTGTGATATAAAGTCAGAATTGCGTGTTATAAAGTCACAATTGTGTGATATAAAGTCATAATTGCGTGTTATAAAGTCACAATTGCTTGATATAAAGTCACAATTGCGTGATATAAAGTCACAATTGTGTGATATAGTCACAATTATGTGATATAAAGTCACAATTGCGTGATATAAAGTCGCAATTGCGAGATATAAAGTCAGAATTGCGTGATATAAAGTCACGATTGTGTGATATAAAGTCAGAATTGCGTGTTATAAAGTCAGAATTGCGAGATATAAAGTCAGAATTGTGAGATATAAAGTCAGAATTGTGTGATATAAAGTCAGAATTGCGTGTTATAAAGTCACAATTGCATGATATAAAGTCAGAATTGCGTGATATAAAGTCACAATTGTGTGATATAAAGTCAGAATTGCGTGTTATAAAGTCGCAATTGCGAGATATAAAGTCAGAATTGCGTGATATAAAGTCAGAATTGCGTGTTATAAAGTCGCAATTGCGAGATATAAAGTCAGAATTGCGTGATATAAAGTCACAATTGCGTGATATAAAGTCAGAATTGTGTGATATAAAGTCAGAATTGCGTGTTATAAAGTCGCAATTGCGAGATATAAAGTCAGAATTGCGTGATATAAAGTCACAATTGTGTGATATAAAGTCAGAATTGCGTGTTATAAAGTCAGAATTGCGAGATATAAAGTCAGAATTGTGAGATATAAAGTCAGAATTGTGTGATATAAAGTCAGAATTGCGTGTTATAAAGTCACAATTGCATGATATAAAGTCAGAATTGCGTGATATAAAGTCAGAATTGTGTGATATAAAGTCAGAATTGCGTGTTATAAAGTCGCAATTGCGAGATATAAAGTCAGAATTGCGTGATATAAAGTCACAATTGTGTGATATAAAGTCAGAATTGCGTGTTATAAAGTCGCAATTGCGAGATATAAAGTCAGAATTGCGTGATATAAAGTCACAATTGTGTGATATAAAGTCAGAATTGCGTGTTATAAAGTCAGAATTGCGAGATATAAAGTCAGAATTGTGAGATATAAAGTCAGAATTGCGAGATATTAAATCAGAATTGCGAGATATAAAATCAGAATTGCGAGACATAAAGTCAGAATTGCGAGATATAAAGTCAGAATTGCTTGATATAAAGTCGCAATTGCGAGATATAAAATCAGAATTGCGAGATATTAAGTCAGAATTGCGTGATATAAAGTCAGAATTACGTGATATAAAGTCGCAATTGCGTGATATAGAGTCAGAATTGCGTGTTATAAAGTCGCAATTGCGTGTTATAAAGTCAGAATTGTGTGATATAAAGTCAGAATTGCGAGATATAAAGTCAGAATTGCGAGATATAAAGTCAGAATTGCGAGATATAAAGTCAGAATTGCGAGATATAAAGTCAGAATCGCGAGATATAAAGTCAGAATTACGTGATATAAAGTCGCAATTGCGTGATATAGAGTCAGAATTGCGTGTTATAAAGTCAGAATTGTGTGATATAAAGTCAGAATCGCGTGATATAAAGTCAGAATTGCGTGATATAAAGTCAGAATTGTGTGATATAAAGTCAGAATTACGTGATATAAAGTCGCAATTGCGTGATATAAAGTCAGAATTGCGAGATATAAAGTCAGAATTGCGAGATATAAAGTCAGAATCGCGTGATATAAAGTCAGAATTGCGTGATATAAAGTCAGAATTGTGTGATATAAAGTCAGAATTACGTGATATAAAGTCAGAATTTCGTGATATAAAGTCAGAATTGCGTGATATAAAGTCAGAATTGTGTGATATAAAGTCAGAATTACGTGATATAAAGTCGCAATTGCGTGATATAAAGTCAGAATTGCGAGATATAAAGTCAGAATTACGAGATATAAAGTCAGAATTGCGAGATATAAAGTCAGAATTGCGTGATATAAAGTCAGAATTGCGAGATATAAAGTCAGAATTGTGTGATATAAAGTCAGAATTACGTGATATAAAGTCGCAATTGCGTGATATAAAGTCAGAATTGCGAGATATAAAGTCAGAATTGCGAGATATAAAGTCAGAATTGCGAGATATAAAGTCAGAATTGCGAGATATAAAGGCAGAATTGCGTGATATAAAGTCAGAATCGCGAGATATAAAGTCAGAATTACGTGATATAAAGTCGCAATTGCGTGATATAAAGTCAGAATTGCGAGATATAAAGTCAGAATTGCGAGATATAAAGTCAGAATTGCGAGATATAAAGTCAGAATTGCGTGATATAAAGTCAGAATTGCGAGATATAAAGTCAGAATAGCGTGATACAAAGTCATAATTCACCTTTGGCTAAGCCACGCCCTAAAAATGTAGATTGACCAATCACAGCGCAGCCAAGCACGAGCTCCCACAGAGGTCGGACACTTTTTCACAGCGCTCCATTGACTTTCAACACAGGCGTCTCATATTTTTAGTCTCGGCAGGCTATTACCGTCATAGTTTTATACAAAATATGGCCTCGGGCATTTGTAACACAGATACGCGTTTCCCAGAGAGGTTGGAGGGGGGTGTCCGTTTTTTCCCTTCCCAAAACCGAAGTAAAATCCTGACAAGTGTCGTCTTTAGAAACTGTGTGGATGTCCTCAGTCAGCTAAACCCCGCAAAGATCAACAAGCACATCTTTTTTTTACTTCTAACCTTACTGTGAGTGTGAAGTTAAACTAGTTAGACCGTTTTATAATGTTTTAGGTTATGATTTCGGTTCTCACACCGGTTGTTGACACGCTAGCACAGTGTTTCCCAACCCTGTTCCTGGCGGCACACCAACACTGCGCATATTCTTTATCTCCCTAATCTAAAACACACCTGATTCAACTCATCAGCTCATTAACCCATCTGATTATGAGCTGATGAGTTGAATCAGGTGTGTTTGATAAGGGAGACAAAAAATACGCGCAGTGTTGATGTGCCGCCAGGAACAGGGTTGGGAAACACACTAGCACACGCTGCTAATAAATACAACGTTATACTTGTGTAGTCCGTTTTGTAATAACGATTATAGAAGTGAATAGAGACCTACCCAGCTTTGCATGAACAGTGTTGCTCCCTGATATTGTTAGTCCCAGCCTCCGTCTCGATTAGTAGGAAATGCGGTGGTTCAATTTTTGACTGTGACCGGTAACGTTATGCTTTTGCCTCTATTTTGGATGCCTTGTTGTTTCTTGCGTTTCACCTGTATGTCTTGAATATAGCCTTCGAACGCATATTGCAGTCCCTTTTGCCTACTTCTATTGGACACTTTATCTGCTGCTTTTAGTGCTTTATAAAAGTTTGATAACATTTCAGCAGGAAGAGCTGTTACAGCATAAAGCCATGCAGAGCGCAGATGAAGTTTGACGGATATAGCAACAGTAACTAAGGGGGGCGGGGCTTAGCCAAAGGTGAATTAAAAGTGATATAAAGTCAGAATTGCGAGATATAAAGTCAGAATTGCGTGATATAAAGTCAGAATTGCGTGATATAAAGTCGCAATTGCGTGTTATAAAAGTCACAATTGCGAGACATAAAGTCACAATTGCGTGATATAAAGTCAGAATCGGGTGATATAAAGTCGCAATTGCGTGATATAGTCAGAATTGCGAGATATAAAGTCAGAATTGCGTGATATAAAGTCAGAATTGCGTGTTATAAAAGTCAGAATTGCATGATATAAAGTCGCAATTGTGTTATATAAAGTCAGAATCGCGAAATATAAAGTCAGAAGTGATTGATATAAAGTCAGAATCGCAAGATATAAAGTTAGAATTGCGTGATATAAAGTCAGAATTGCGTGATATAAAGTCTGAATTGCGTGAAATAAAGTCAGAAATGTGTGATATAAAGTCAGAATTGCGAGATGTAAACTCGCAATTGTGAGTCAGCTCACATTTCTGTCTTTTTTCCCTCACAATTGAGACTTTATTTCAAAGAATTGCGACTTTATATCACGCAATTGCGACTATTTCTCAGAATTGAGTTAAAAGTCGCAATTATTATTATTTTATTTTTATTTATTATTCAGTGGTGGAAACAAGCTTCCATAGTAATATGACCTGATATGATTTTAAACTTTCAACGCATGAAAGTTATGATTTTAGTAATAGTAATATGACCTGATATCATTTTAAACTTTCAACGTATGATTTTAAAATTTCAAAATGCGTTCATTTTTTTGTTATATAAATATCCCTATGATAAATAGGTCACATTTTTTTTCTTTTGTTTTGTGGTGAAATCAGATAATATTCCTGTTATTTATTCTAACACAGACTAATAATTTCAAATAATCAGAGTGATTTATTTTTGTCAATTATGAATGCAAGCTGTTCCATTTTAAAAGTCGCATATTGAATTCAACACTCACAAGATAGCAAAGAGCACTGGCAAGCTGTTTAGCAACAGTAAACTTCCACTGAGGAGTGACACGACCCTTCTCTCTGTGCAGGAACACATCTAATGGGCCGAACTCCACAAACTCCTCCACCATGATGTCTGTTCAAATAAAAACAGTGCAGTCAACAGATACATAATGTGTATGACGGATGGTAAAAAAAAAGTACAGATTGTGCATAAAAAAGGAGCTCAACCAAAAAACAGCTATGACGACACATGCGCCCTTTAAAGAGGAAGTTAAAAAGGGCACGCCACTCACTCTCAGATCCCTTGACTGAAACGCCATGCACAAAGACCAGATGACAGTGTGACACCTGACTCATGAGACTAGCTGTCTCAAAGAATGCCTGGACAAAAATGAGACAACATCATGCTTTTGCCATTGTTTTTATCATACATTCCTAACCAGACAACTCTTACTAGCGCTATGTCCTTGTGGCTCTGGTCCAGAAATTTTAGGACGACCCGGATGCCTTTTACGTTGCGGTGATTGTTATTGTATTCGTTGGGGTCATCCTCCAGTGAGCCGTGTATCTTCAGCCAGCCTGAGTAAATGTTGGTCCTGGTGCCTCGTCCCAGATGCTGCTCCTGTGTCCATTAAAAAAAGTCAACGGGTGTTTCGTCGATTACAGGGATTTTATGAGCCATATTTTTATGAAAACTATTTGCATAGATTTGAAATTACAACTATCCCTTAATCATGATGTAATTTCTAACAAAACTAAATATTCTGCCACTAATAAAATTACTGTACTTGGAAACAATGTCAGTGAAAAATATTTTTTATTAATTTAAGTTTTTTTTTAAATTGTGTATTATACAATATATTTTTTGAGCAAAGTTTATTTATTTTATTTATTTATTTGATTGATTTTAAACAATACAAAATACTGTATATATATAAAAATACAATTTTATATACAATATAAAAATTAAATATAAAATTACAATATAAAAAAAAATAACATCTATAAAGTATTATAACAATAATTATATCATGTTTGAAAAGGAGCGGGATGAAGCAGAAGCTTATTATTTTTCCCACTCCTTTTATAACTCTAAATATATCATTTTATATTCATATCAAGATAAAAAAAAACAGCATAATTTTTAACACCAAACCAACTTTTACATTTTGCACCAAACAACCCTTCACCCTATATTCACATATCCCAATGCAATGAGTATTATAACCCACACTCACAATCACCTCTGTTCCTCTTCATATCCTTTTAATAAAGTGTTTTTATAAAACTTTTTAAACTGTTTAATGTTTGTACAACATTTTAACACCTGCTCTAAACCATTCCACAACCTCACCCCACAAATAGTGATGCACATACTTTTTAGAGTTGTTCTTATTTTAAGCTTTGTAAAGTTCCCTCAAGCTATACCCACCCTGCATTTCCAGAAACATTTTTTGTACATTTCTCAGAAGTCGATTATTTCTTCCTTTGAACATGACTTGTGTCGTCTTCAATTTAACCATATCAGTGAACTTCATTATGTGACTTTAAAAATAATTAGGGCTGTGCAAAAATTAATTGCGATTAATCACATCCAAAATAAAAGTCTGTGTTTACATAATATATTTGTGTGTGCTGTATATAATTATTTTGTATATATAAATACACACACATGCATGTATATATTTAAGAAAATGTGTTATTCATATATAAAATATTTATATTTATATAATATAGATTATGTATTTTTATATATATACAGAATTTAAGCGCAAATAATTCTTAAATATATACATGCATGCATAGATATTTATATATACAAAATAATTATATACAGCACACACAAATATATTATGTAAACACAGAATTTTATTTTGGATGCGATTAATCGCAATTAATTTTTGCACAGCCCTAAAAATAATACATTTGTCTGTTCCTGATATCCAACGATATTAATGATTCTGATTGCTCTCTTTTGTAATGTGCATAATGACTGTAGGTACGTTTTGTAGTTATTTCCACACATAACTCAAATATTTCCAATTAAACTGTACTTTTGTTAAAGGGATACTCCACTTTTTTTGGAAATAGGCTCATTTTACAACTCCCCCAGAGTTAAACAGTTGAGTTTTATCGTTTTTGAATGCATTCTGCCGATTTTGAAAAAAATATACTATGGAAGTCAATGAGACCAGAAACTGTCTGGTTACTGATATTCTTCTAAATATTACAAAATCGGCTGAATGGATTCGAAAACGGTAAAACTCGACTGTTTAACTCTGGGGGAGTTGTAAAATGAGCCTATTTCCAAAAAAAGTGGAGTAACCCTTTAATTACTGTATGCTAAAAAAATATGTTGTAAAGCTTGTTCATTAAGTTTCATTAAAGGCCCACTGAAGTGCCTTGGAACGGCAGCTTTTCTATGATGCGTTGACTTAATTTCCATTGTAACAGGAAGCTACGGCAGGACATATTACATGGCTCCTCCCCCTTTTTTAAATAGCCAATGGCGTTTAGTTTACCTCACAAATTGCAAGTCGCACTTGACAGCACCATGGAAGCGAATCCGAGCGCTGATTAAACGTTGGATTCAATAGTAGACATGTGAATAAATTCTAGATATTTAATTCTTAACCAATCTAGTTGGAAAACAGAATAAAACACGAGCGTTTGAGCAACCAAACTCTCATCTCCAACCCCTATCGCTTTGGCCAGGTGGAATTTATAGCATAGGGGGCGGAGCTTTAGATTCTAGTGAGCATTTGATTGGACAGAAGCTGATGAAGAGTCCGCGGTGATGTCATACAAATCCGTGATCGATTTTAGCAGAAGTGAGAGACTGCATATTTTAAATGATTATATCTCCTTGTTTTGTTTCATAACCTTGAGCCTAACATATTCACACTAAAAGCTAAAAAACTTTCAGGGGGGCTTTAAAATATCAGATCCTCCAGGTCAAAAGTGCATAGCTGACAATAAGACAAACTACATGTGATATATAAGGAAGTGTCTGTTTTCATTTTATCAGTACAATCTGCCCAAGTGGAATGCATGAAAATGTTCTTATCAATGGTTTGGTGTCGTAGAGCTCAGCCCGTGAGAATAAGTAGGCGACTGATTGTGCAATACAATACCTTTGTAATCTCCTTGTCCTTAATTTGATGAAACCTCAGTTGGCTCAGGTTGAGGGAATCAGAGACAGTTTTAATGCAACTGTTTGCACCCTTTCTCATTACGAGAAGGTTTGATAACTCTGCAATGCAACAATAAAAAAAAAACCGTTAACAGGATGACTCACCAACTGATTAGACCTCTGTGGAATTTTTCCTAATCAGAACTTCACTCCAGGGTGACTCAGAGGTTTGACTGTAAAGGCTGCCAAGCTGAAAACACACACACACACATACACTCACCTCCTGGTCTTGGCAGGCAGCACTTCTTCAAAGTGAAACTGTCTTCTTCAGACTTTAGCACGGAGGTCTTTAAACTCATGGTGAGCTCCTTTATGCTGAGGAACTCTTTATCCCATCCTTCCAGTTTGAACAAGGAGCCTTTGTGTGTAATTCGGAACTGTTTGTATATTGGACTTTCTCCTTCCTGCCAGAATTAAAGTTGAGCAGAAATCAGTAGTGATGAAACAGAAGTAGCGACAGATGTTCTCTTCCGTACTGTGACATGCGAGTGTAAGAGATTATTTAAAGAAAAAAGTAGCCCAGAGACTTGGTTCTATGCATTGGATTTTGAGATGTTGAAGTGGAGGCAGATGAACGCGAGTTTGCAGGGGTGAAGGTTTATCGCATTAAAAGAAGTCCTGTATATGTCACCAGAGAGAAGTCTGCCTTATGCTACGTTCACACCGGACGCAAATAGCGCGTCAGGCGCGAATGATTTCAATGTTAAGTCAATGCAAAGACGCTTTACGTGCGTGAAAAATTCCTGCGGCGCGAATGAGGCGTGGAGCGAGGCGCGGAAGACGCGAATACGCCTCGTTCGCGCGAATTGAGCGTCTGGCGCGTTAAGCGCGTTACGCGCGAATGATTCAGTTAGTGCCATTTGTGCATTCACGCGTTTGACGCGAATTCGCGTCTGCCGCCCGAGTTGAAAAATCTGAACTTTGGCGTGAATTCGCGCCGCGTTAACCAATCAGGAGCCTAGCTGCTTGCTCACGTGGTGAAGTGTCTGGATGCTTCAATAAATTATTTTGTTAATATGACTAAATGCATGGTGGGATTATGCACAACAAAGCAAATATTTTATCACTTAAAACATGATTTCTATATACGAGACATGTTCATTTTGTATTGAATGTTATTCATTCCATATCTAGATTATATGAAATAGTATTATGTTGTAAAGACAATCAACATATGTGCATAAATTCGTGTCTGGACGTGAGAGAGAGGAAAAAAATCACAGGACAGGTTAATAACTTTTGAAGGCTGGCTCTATTTATCATCAAAACAAAAAATAAAATGACAGCTAGATTAGGTGGATGAGGGCGAGGGTGATCCTCGCTCCGATGCGGGACAACAGGTCATCAAACTGGGCGCGGGACAGGCGGAAGTACCGCTGACAGCGGCCGTCATCCAGCACAGCTCCTGGAGCGAGCAAATGGTGAAACTCGCCAAACGGTTCGGCTCTGAAGGGTCCGGTGGACACAAATATACGGCGACGATGATCCCCACGCCGCTGTTCTGCTCTCCAGAGTAAATACAGAGCGGTAACTCTCTTGATGAATGCTAAGTCGACATAAAAACAATGGCCGCCAATGGATTTCGATTCTGACGCGCGTAAATTTCGCTTCAAACTTTTGTTTTTACGCGCGCCAGTTTCGCTCTTGACACGCGAATTAACACAAAGTGGTCAAGCGTCAAACTAGACGCGTCAGGCGCGAATTTGACGCGCGATTCGCGTCCGGTGTGAACGTAGCATTAGGTCTGTATAGTGACTTGGATAGTTCATTTTCACCTGAAGGTACAGTTATTACATTTTGATTGTGCATTACGAGGTGAAAAATGAAACCTATATTTGGGTGAGTTGTTTACAATAAGATCTATAACATGCATTTATAAAATAGAGCGGGTGAATTTCCATTTCAAGCTGACTTAAGCAACTGAAAAACGAATTATTTGTGAGACTTTTGAAGTCAAATGTTCAATAACACCCAATCTACTGCATAATATTTGCTCATTTAATAACTTTTTGAATTAGTATAGTCTTTTCTTTTTCCATTTTAAATTCTACATTGTATATTTTATGTACAGTGTATTGTATGGTATGTGTATTATGGTCTCTATGGGTTTTTGCTTAGTTTTTTTGTGCATGTTTTATCATCTGCCAGGAAACAATGTGGAAGCTTCAAAGGTAATAATACACTCCGTAGGAAAAAAGGTGTGGGACGACTTAAAGACATTTTGCGCAATATGCGGCCAGGATTCTCGTGAACAAGGTTAAATTAATTCACAATTCTTCCAACTCCTCCTACAAAACTGTTTTCAGAGTTGACATTTGATCTAAAGAATTACCTTTGTCCGACTCAGAGATGCCAGGATTATTCGATGGTAATCCAAAACACTCCAGCGCACGATAAACGCTCCCTCCTCTGGTTCTTTCTTTAGTTTTTGGAGCACAAACTCATCCCTAGCATTCGGAAAAAGAGTGAACACGTCAATAAAATGGAAGAAGACCACATGGCCACACTGACCGCATGTGGAGATGAGAGTGACGTACAGTATGGGGCCGTGCAGGTCATTGGTCTCACTGAGAACCACTCTGGGCGGAGCCACTTCGTGACAAAGGTAATGATGTGCATCGGTTGTGAGGCGGAAATACCCATCGAGCAGTGAAACCAGAGAGCGAGCCTGAAGACTGGAGCCCAAATGCATTTCCTGGAACACAAATATACTGTATGTAGGTGGGACACATATTGTACAAAACACAAAAGATCGAAACTAATACCAGACCGTTTACCATTGACATGTTGTCTTGTCGACTGATGCTGACATTTACGCCCCGAATGGCTATCAGAGAGATCTCAGGGAAGTCACAGAAGGTGTTCCAGTTGTCCATTTCCTGTTCATCACATGACTGTGTCTCTTCGCTCTGATTATGAATGTAGTCATTAACCTGGAAAATGTGACTAATTCAAAAGCACAGCCATAGTAGAGACGAAGGTCAAATATCAACTGCATCAACTTACCCTTTGTGCTGATAACTTCCTCCACCATATGCCAGTTGATCCAGAAACCTTGATCTCAAAAGTAGGTTCAGGTTTTTCGGTTTCCCAAGAGGGTGTTGGTGTTTCGGAGGCAATGAGGCACGAGCCGCTGCCATCTCCATCAGGTCTCAGGTCAAGATGAAACACAGGGAAGGTCTCGACGCCAAAATGAGGAGCCAGACGCTCCAGCGTAAACAGATACTTGTACATGACCTCTTGCAATCCAAGCTTCCCCATGCTTACTGTGTTCTTCTGGAAACCGCTCACAAACCTCTCAAACACACGCCGAATACGGAACCTTGTCAGGAAGTTGTTCCGGGCAATGTGTCGGGAAAAAGACTGAGGGATGCATCGGAGAAAGCTGAAGGATGGAGCATAAACAAGTCAACATGCTTGAATAATTATCTATGTTGTAATGGCTATTAGCATTATTACATGATTTAGAAATGCACATTTGAAAGTGTTTCAATTAATGTCATTCAATTATGGGGAGTTTTATTTAATTGAACAACAGATTTAAAGAAATTCATATCATGAGGAATCAAGGACATTTTCCTCGATCTTTTAAGATAAGAGTTTGTTTCATCGATGTACTAAAACATTGTAATTTCGTCCCCCGTGAATACAAGTCTACTTGTTGAAACTATGCTGTAAAAATGTACATTTCCAGAAGAAAATGTGAAGTGGTGCTTGCAGTGGCAAAACTCGCCGCTCGGTTGCAAGGGTGTGGCACGTGATCGCATACGAGACAACAAACACGTCTGTACGATGTTCTGGTGCTGAGATATGACTTATTCAGGTGCTCACGTGGTTACTAGGGTACTCTATATGGTTGCTATGGTGTGCTTATGCGGTGTATGAGATGAAATTTAAAGACTAGTTGACAGTCTAATGGTGTGTTCATAGGTTGACACTTGAACATTCGCTAGAGTTCAAATTTTTCAACTTGCGCTGAAGACATTCGCGGCAAACGCGTCGCCCAATTCGCGTCATTCGCAACGTCCGCCGCGAATGATGCGTCTATTCGCGTCTTTGCATTGACTTGTATGTAATCTACTCGCGCAAATAATTAAATTCGCGGTCGGTGTGAACACATCATAAGTCAAAAAAGCCAAACTCCATGTTTCTACTATTTTTTTGAGCTGAAATATGGCTATGTAGTTTTATGGTTGCTAGGGTGCTCTGGGTGGTTGCTATGGTGTCGCTAGACAGTTGATAGGTTATTGTGGGTGGTTAATGTCTCTTTCTGTTTTTCTGCAACTTTCTGAGATTAGATGAAGACATTTAGACACATGACCGTCCACTTTTACCCATCAGCAATGGCTATTCATTGTTCAGAATCGTGTTGCTGTGTGTAGCACATACAGCTATGAATTTCATTTGAAAATAAACAAAGATTTGCCTGGTCATTTTTTCTACAACATTCGTGGTTTGTAGCATATTTTTAGCATAAAAGCTAAAAAAAACCTTTGATTTCAGGGGGCCTTTAAAATATCAGAATCTTCCTGTGATGCATGTTTATTTCGATCCTCCAGGTCAAAAGTGCATTGTTGACAATATGACAAACTACATGTGATATATAAGAAACAGACACATGGGATATTTGAAGGATTGGGTTTTTGATAGCAAACCTATGGATTGTGAGCAGTGTTGGGCATATTACTTAAAAAAAGTAATTAGTTATAGTTACTAGTTACTTCTCACAAAAGTAACTAATTACCAGGATAAGTAACTATTGCGTAACTTTAAAAAAAAAGGTTAAAAAAGGCCTATGTCAAATAACTTGGATGCACCCAATATTATATGTTAAATTAATGAAATGGACACTATAGAATAAATTATTATTATAAAACATGGTACACTAATCTACACTATCATAATGTTAATGTGAGAGACATCTATAAAATTCAATATATTGTTTTAAATATTATCATTACTTTAGACAATAAAACATAATTTTAGGTTTAGAACTTTTAATATTTAATTTTGCACAGACCACAACTGGCCAACAAATAAGTCTAAAAATAAAATATGCTTAAATGTACCAAAAATGAATAAATAATAGTAAAAACATATACATACACTCTTTGAAGTGAAAATTAAAATGATAAACAGTTTAACAAGAAGTGTTCCCAGAAACGAAATTTCCAGAACGTTCCCTGCAGGTTATTTTTTAGATTTCATTTGTATAACCATGTAAATGAATTAAAACACTGATACCAATAGGCTACAGAGATTATTCTAATGCTGAAATTTGTAATTTATTTATAAACAAACAATATAATGCTTGGACACACTCGGTCTCTCTCGCACAGTCGAGCACGCTCTCAGACACACTCTATCTTGCGCATTGTATTTTACGCTTTTTATTGTCTTAACGGTAATTGCGTTGTAATGGGGGAAACTGTAATTTGTTTGATTACTCATTACTGAGAAAGATAACGCCTTTAGTAACGCCGTTTATATATAATGCCATTATTCCCATCACTGCTTGTGACTGACTGCAGGAAAGTGCTGTATTTCAATACATATGCAATGAGGGCATTCACTTAGAAGAAGTCCCCAAGGCACAGGAGCAAAAATTAGAGGGTGAAAAAACAACAACAAAAACTTTATGCATGGACACAGTGGAAAAAGTCACATTATGTAAGATGGGACCCCTTTAAAGGCTATCTGCTGTTTTATATATGGTAACATTCTTCAATCTCTCGTCTTTTTCTTGTCTCTTTTATTTAACTTCCTCTTTAAAACAGTTTTCAGATCTTCTTTTGAACAGTGAAGAAAACTGAAGCCCACACCTGGTCTGCTTGGCCACATCCTGTAGAGAAGAGCCAGTCTGCAGGGCCGTGTAAGTTAGGTGGAGCACAGCCATACCCAGACACTCATTCTTAAAGTGACTGAGCTCTTCCTCTCCCTTCAGTGCATCCAAACATGTCAAGTCATTCACAAAATCATATTTTGCCTGGAAAGAGAATCAAAACATACAACTTAAAACAATTTGAAAGAATGGCATCCTGCTTTTTGGTAAATAAACCCCAGGAAAACACAATTTCAAATACAAAAATAAAATAAAATAAAAATAATTTCAATTTTGTGTTATTTTTATGGGTAAATTACATTTTATTACAAGTTTTTTTTTCATTGAATCTGTTCAAACTAGAAATAAATATCTCACAGGCAATGAAGTTACAGTGTTTCAGTGAATCTCTTTCAATTATTTTGAGTGACTGTAAAAATCACCTGAGCAAAGAGGTATTCCAAGGACGCCATCTCCAGCAAAGGAGACATCACCTGCTCTGCTCCAGATCCAACTCGAAACGCATGACGAGTCACTACCGGTTCCTTTTCAGCTAATCCATGCCAGTTACGGAAGTAAAATCTACAAAGCAACAACATTAATTGATGATTAACACCAAGAAATGTTTCTTCAGTGAGAGAGCCTGAGGCTTTGAACAAATCAGGAGAGTCAATGATTCAATGACTGAATGTAATGATTTTTAAATGGTTTTAATATTTCATGCATCCCTTGAAAATGGTCTAATTGAAAATTGTCCGTGGAATGTGCCACTCCCGGTATATTGCAGGTTACTTGATACAGGCAAATTGCAATAGAGGACTTTTTTAAGTACTCGAATCGAGGAATCATGACAGCCCTAATTATCTATCTCATAACATTATTTGCCATTGTAATTGCATTAAAACAGTGTGTAAATACATCAAGATGCAGTCTATGCAAGAATGCATTTGTTGATAATGTTTTACTTATTGATTTAGTTGAATTTATTGCTGTATTTATTATATTGATAATTATATTAATGCAATTTTAAGAATTTGACATAAAGCATGACAAATATGTACATTGAATATGGTTGGAAAAACTTTGCCTTTATAAAAGGTAAGAAAATGCACCTGAAAATCAATTTAAGGGAGCAAATAGTCCAGACAAAAACGACTTTTTTTTAAAATTCGTTTTAAAAAAAAATTTGCACCCTGTTGACTTCAATGGGGCATGTTTTAAACCTGCTTTTAACCTCTTATCATCCTTGATTTGTCATTACGAGTGCACAGCCATGTGAGTCGTGTTACTAAGAGTGACCACGGTCAATCTGACTGCAGTAGATGTGAAAGATATGAATAAAAATGATGTTAATTCAGCCAGCGCACATACCTCTATTTGCTTCCTGTTTTCGGTCGAAGCCCACAGTAGTCGATTGTCGAGTTCGCACGCGCGATCATTAGTGAATATCATCTCAAACCTCCTCCGTGTGTTCAACATCTGATTCAGATGAACTATCCATTTGACCTGATGTTCTCAGAACAACACACAGTGTTGGGCTTGAGATGATATTAACCAATGATCACGCGCGTGAACTCGACAATCGACTACTGTGGGCTTCGACCGAAAACAGGAAGCAAATAGACGTATGTGAGCTGGCTGAATTAACATCATTTTTATTAATATCTTTCACATCTACTGCAGTCAGATTGACCGTGGTCACTCTTAGTAACACGACTCACATGGCTGTGCACTCGTAATGACAAATCAAGGATGTTAAGAGGCTAAAAGCAGGTTTAGAACATGCCCCATTGAAGTCAACAGGGTGCGAATTTTAAAAGGACGATAACACGGTGTAGGCAACACTGATTTTTGTTGTTTTTGTCTGTACTGACAGCACTCCAAATGTACAAAAAAATGAGCTCAATGTTAAAATTGACCAGAGTTGTCCTTTAATATTTACATGTTTTTAAAAGGTGTGACTGCAGTCTACAGTGTTGTAGTACTCGAGACTCGGACTCGTCTCGGTCTCGAGACCATATTTTAATGGTCTTGGTCTTGTCATGGACTCGTGTGCATTTGGACTCGGAATTGACTCGTACTCGAACTTTTTTTTTTACTTATTCCCGAGTCCACTCGAGTTCAATTCAAAATATTTTTCATGATTATTAATGTATGTTAATAAAATATTTCTTTAAATTGATTGACACGCCCAGTGATTGGTGATTTTCTAGTGCAAAACTGCGCATGACAAATTGTAATAAAATTACTTTTAACACCACCTACTATGTGGCCTATTTTACCCTAAACTGATCATATTTTTTAAACTCTAAGTAAATTCAGTAAAATAAAAAAAAGTATTTCTCTAGTAAATTAGGTAATATAAAATAAAAGTAAATAAAAGTAAATTAGGTAATCAACCCTCACTGGTCTCGACTCGGACTCGACCGTCTCTGGTCTCGGACTCGACTTGGACTCGACTCTCTATGGACTCAATCTTGACTCGGACTCGACTCTCTCTGGTCTCGACTACAACACTGGCAGTCTAAAGCCAGTCAAAAGAACAATTCCTCTCAGAAACTTTGTTTTCCTCAGGGCTGTTGCTGTCTGCGTTATGTTCAGCAAGTCCCGCCCCCAAAAGTTCCTGAACTTTGAAAAAGTATTAAGCCTACCTCGCACGCAGGGACTTTCTAAGGGGGAAATTTTTACCCATAACTTCATTTAGACCCTCGTCCCTGCAGTTGAAACCGAATGCCACCCCCAAAGTCCCTAGTTTTTGGGGAAAGTTCCTGCGGTGGAACAGCGGCTTAAGTGGAAAAGAGGGGAAATGCCCCAGGGGGGGTACGCCACTCTAAAGCGTTCGGGAACCACTGATTTACAACGTTACATCATGCATATTTGTGCGCTTACCATTGCATTAATCTCTACACAAACACACCCAGTCTCATATTCACCTCATTCGGAAATGCACCAACAGGCCAGACTGGTTTTCCGCATTAAATTTGTGATTTGGACTGTACCAACACGAGGATGCAGGGTCATATAGAGCAAACAAGGCATGACAGACAGGAGTGATCCCTGAGGGAGAAAGAAAATATTTTAGATCGACAAGACCAAAAACAAGAATAGGAAACTGAAGCACTTTGCTGGCACCCACACCTACCCACAGCCTTTGCAGCATCGATGGTGAGATCTTCAGCCGTGACCTCACCCTCCTTGTAAGACAGAAAGCGCTCTTTCTCTTTGGTCCAGAAGAGAAACACATGGACCCCAGGACCCTCACACTGTCCCGTGGACGTCCCGGCTCTGGATCTTCTTGGACGTCCTCGTCTAGACATTATACACTGCTTCTTCCAACACCTGCTTTAAAGACATGCAAGAGTGTAGATGATAAAAACAAGTTTTAGTTTAAAACAGCTGTGCGCCTAGACATTCTTTGTATCCATATGGTTTTGAAATGTTTATACCATCAACACATTTCTATTTATTGGGGCCATCAGATGCAAAATTCACTTTTATATGTTTCCATATAAATGTGTCAACCATCATACAATGTAAGAAATCAATTCACTCCTTTTAATCCTCAAAAAGCCTAAACACTCTCAATAATCAAATCCGTTTGGACTTTCAGAGCAATATGATGTTATATTGCTCATGCTCCACCCACGACTGTTGACGGACTATCCCGTATTAGCATATTTCTCCCCTCAGCATTTTTATACTGTCCACCAAGGCAGGACTTGACGTGTCTTGTGTCGACACCCCCCATGGAAGAGAGGGGTGGGGTCAGCAGTTGCTCATTATCATTTAAAGAGACATGCACCGAAATAGGTCGCTGTGAACGGAGCGGTTTTTGAGGAGGTAAAAGGGTGTTGTTTTACACAACCATTGAGGAATTTTAACCAAAGCATGTTACAAATCATTTCAACTTGTGGAAAATGGGAATCCGATGACCCCTTTAATTACTCTAAAAATAGCATATTTTGTAACCTCAACATAAGCATTAACCCTCAAAAATATATTTTAATTTAACAACATGTACATTATAAGCCTCGTTCAGATGGTCAGTCCAAATCTGATTCATGGGCATATTCCATTTGAATCAGATTATATATTTTTATGTGTTAAAAATATTCATTCATATGTGGTACACACATTTCTGGAAATCTGTCTGACTGCTCTAATCTGATTTTGCATGTAATTTTCTCACGCCACGTAAAATGCAAACATGTCAACATGGAAGCATGCTGACAGTCACTGCAGAAACTGTTGGAGAAATCCACTTGTCTTAAGTCACTCCAAAAAGAGAAATACAGATGGTTGATTATTTATGTCATGGTAAACTGCTCCTCTTTTAAACTGCTCCTCTTTTAAACTGCTCCTCTGCAGAGCAACAAGGTATGGAAGGCCGTATCTATAGAAATGGTCATGTAATTAGCAAAAATAGTAAAAACAGGTGTTCAGAGTCACATGACTGCGCCTAGGTATCATCAATTGAGTTTGACAGTTAGTTTTATGACCTATTGACCGCCTAGATAAGATTAAAGGGCATCAAATGGGTTTGACAGTTAGTTTTATGACCTATTAACCCCCTAGATAAGTTTAAAGGGATCAAATTGGATTTGACAGTTAGTTTTTTAACCTATTAACCTCCTAGCTTTGATAATAAAAAGTGTACAGTATTTTATTTTTTAAAAAACATATGAGCACGTGTTTCGCCACGGTTAAAGCAGGACTAAGGCCGAGTAAGCAATAATGGGTGCGAAATGAAGAGGAGGAGCAGGAGAAAAGAGATAAGGGCAGAAACACTAATTGGGCAGCCACGATAAGAAAAGGGTATAATATGCTGGGATGAAACCAACTTAATTTCAGATGCTTTGGCCACCATCTCACTTTGTTGAACTGCTCAATAAAGTTATTCTTCTGAGACCTGAAACCTCGACTCTGCGCAATTTCTCCAAGACCAAGACTCGACTCTGCTGAATTGAATTGAGACTTCTGATTTGCCACAACATAATTGGCGAGCCAGCCAGGAGCTTCGAGAGGGGAGCGGCCGTGGTGGACGACCCCTGCCGGTGACCCCACGAAACAAAAGGTCGACCAAAAACAAGGTAAGCAGCTTTTGCTTAAATTTGTTTCGTGTGGTCCCTGACAGAGCAGTCACCTTGGTTGGTAATTATTATTATTTGATAAATTAAACCCCGCCGAAAAACGAACCTAAAAAAAGACTGAATTGAGTAAAAGTAAAATGGAAATGAATAAAAGTCGAGGTTTCGGATCAAGATGAAGAAGTGCATGCGCATGAATGAAAAGAAAAAGAGTTTAATGAAGTATATGAGATTGTGAGACAAAAGAAAAAGAGATAAAGCATTATATATGGGAAGTATATGAGATTGTGAGACAAAAGAAAAAGAGATAAAGCATTATATATGAGAAGTAGAGTGAGCTTACTTTCTGAGATTTTTTCTTTTTGAAAAATGAGTAAAGATTAAGAGAAGAAGTAAAGAGAAATATAGTAAAAGTTGAGTAGCATAAGAAGAGAAAAACATAGAAGAATAAAGTAAAGAGATTGAAAAAAAAAAAAAAAAAAAAAAAAAAAAAAAAAAAAAAAAAAAAGGAGTGCAAGCATAACAAGGGGTGCTGTGTTAAAATTGTAAGGAGAGATAAGAGGTAGGATACCCGGGGAAAAAGTGTGGGTGTATGTGGGTCTGTGAGTGTGTGCGCGAGAGGGCTGCAGCTGGCGTGTGAGAGTGCATGAGTGAAGCATAAAGGTGAGAAAGAGGTATAAGTGGATGCAGGATATAAGGCAAAAAAGTGAGAAAAGTAGGGGAAAGGGGTGTTGGAAGGCAAAAAATACTCCAAAAAATTGGCTTTGTCGATTATTAGGACACTCAATTAACTGTGTGCGTTGTGATCCTAGAAGAGAAACACAGCCATTACTAAATAAGAGAGTGAAAAGAGAATAATAATAGTGTTAGAAGTAAGACAAACAAAGGAAGCAAGGGAAATAAGTCAAGAAAAAAAGAACAGATAAGTCAAAAAGCAGAGCAAATGTGGAGCGCTCATGCAGAAAGAGAGAAGGAAAAAGGTAGAAGGTGGGGATGGAGGTACAGAGAAAGTGAAAGTTTGAAGAGAACAGCAGAACTCACTAAGGGAATTAAAAACCATTTTTGGTTAGAAAAGGAGTTTATCAATGAGGGAGGACATAGGGAGGAATTGACAGAACGAATCAGAGACATATTTTTACAAAATCTGACGCAAATAGTTAATCTCGACCAGCTCGAGCGTGAGTGGCCTTTTGTAAATTGGTTCAAGATAATCAAACAGTACATAAGTTTCGAAACATTGCGGCCACATTTGAACAAATTCGAACTTCCAAAGCCTCTTCTCCGGGAGGCGTTGCCAATTACCTCAGAGATAAGGCTAGATCCAGTGTGTCTTCCTTATCTGAAAAGTAATTTGGGACACGTTTGGCCCCCTGGGCTGGGGGGGGCAACAATCTTGCAGAATCTCTATTTGGTGATAGGTTCCTGTGCCAGACAAGTAAAGTGGGAAAGTGATGTAATATTTCAAATTGATCGATTGGGGGAAAGCAGACCAGTGCTGATAGACAATTGGACCTTGGATAAATTGGCAGTAGTGGTGGTGTTGAAAAACAGGCCTGATCAAATCCACCATTTGCTAATAGAAATTTACCACAGCAAGGAAGATTTGGAAGAAGTACCAGTTACAGCAGAAAATGGCGGGGGTCGAAGAGAATAAAAGTAAAAGAAATAAAAGGGGATGCAGAGGGAGCAGGATATTGACAAAAAGAGAACGGGAAACATTGATAAATTTATTCAAACCATTAAAGCTGCAAATGTGTACCAAGGATGAATTAAATGTGAATGCATTCATGAAGGCGGGGCATGAAGTGAGGCTCTCTCCATCTCTTATTTATCACTGTAGGGCGGGAGAAATAACAGTGCGAGGCCGCTGGTACTGGAGAAAGATAGCCTGGGCCTTCGAATTGATTTGCCTGGGGAAGGACATTATTTGGCAGAGCAGCACATACAAGACAATAGGAGAGGGAGAGGTGACAACGAGGCCATTGCTCAAGGTACAGATACAGATTCTTTTAAAATATTTTGAAAAGATAAAACAAGAAGTCACTAGCAGCAATTTTAGTGATTATTTTGATTAATTTTAATTAGATATTAATAGTACTGCAGCAATGGCATCGGGGTCACCTGAGGCGGAGCCTCCTGTGGAGCAATTGGCAACGCAGTACCCAATTTGTAGGGATGTAATAAGAGGATTGTCTAAAAAATGGGAGAAAAGAACAAAAAAATTGAACACTAAATGGCCAGCAGAGGGAACATTCGATTTGGCAATGTGTAGGGATATGGGAGCCCTGATAAAAAATCACAAGCCCTATGATAAAAGTAAGAAAAGACAAGAAAAGCGGGAAAAAGAACAGGAAGTGTTGAACTTATTTAGAGAAGTAGGGATAAAGTTAGTAAAGGGATTGAGAAACAAAACAGAAAATAAAAAAGGTGAACCAGAGACCCCACCCCCATATGCACCACCCTATGCTGAAGTTCATAGACAGCTGCCTGTAGTGTCTGGAACTGTGAATATACATGGACATGTTGATTTTGAAGAAAGCAACGAAGCAAGGGAAGAGGGATATCAAGTTGAAAGGTCTGTTGAGAGAAATCAACAAAACTCTGAGAAGGGACACGAGGGTGATGAGTCCGAAGTAAGTGGAGAAGAAGGAAGCCGGTCGGACAAAGCATATCCAGAAGGGGGCAGCAGCGACAAGATGATTTCTGTCCGCCAAAAGACACCTGAAGATCCGCTATCGTACCCCAACGTATCTGACTATCTGAAGGACTGCAGAAGAGACAAGAGGGTCACAAGGGAATCCGACTCGGACGGATCCGAAACAGAGGAGAAAGAAACCAAAGAACAGCTAAAGAATGGAGCCCAACACCCCTGCTTTCGTTATGAGGAGCTGAGCCAGCGACTAGCAAAGATGGAGGATGAGGTCGCCAAAGAGACTCAACACCTGAAAGGATTCCATGACCAGAGGGAAGCAAGAAGAAGGCAAACGCCAAGATTAAGGACACGTTCCCTCAGCCCGCACCGAGAATACAAGAACATATCGGGGACAGTAGTACTGGAGGACATGCCACAGGAAACTGCACCATGGGGAAGAGGGCACCGTTTGAGGAGAATGCCAGCTTCCAGATTCAGCAGATACATGGAGGAGGAAGGCTATCCGAAAAGCTCAAAGCAGTTTCCCATATTGATCAAGGGCAGAGAGGGACAGTATATTCCATGGGCAAGCCAGGACCTGGATGGACTGATTTCCCGTCTTC